AAACTTTGCGATTCGAAGGAACTCGAAGGATGGATGTAGCGTACCTCGTATTGAACGGAACAGAGGGAAACAGTCTCATTGATTCTGTTTGGACGTCAGTATGAATTGAATGTACGCGTCAAGGCAACTCACCGTTTATGACAGCCCTCAGGTACTTCATATCTTTGATATCATCATAGGTCGGGCGCCGAGAGGGCCCAACGTGCGTGTGGATTTCTTCTCTGAGACGCACGCAGACCTCGGGGTGGATCGAGAGGCTTCAAAGCAGTTGGTGAGCATTACGATTTGATGATGAGCCGGCGAACGCACAAGTAAATGACCATCGTTGTTGTGTGCATGGTTGTGTCTCGTCCGGCTTGGAACGCAACCTAATCAGCCACCACCCTGGAAAACATGCCACGGACGTACCCAGCAGAATATTCAACCTGAAAACCATTGAGTAATGTTGAGATAACTGGAAGGAGTCGACTCACGTCTCGTCCTTGAGGACTTTGGGATCTAGAAGGAACAAATTCCAGCGCACAGTATGAATCTGTATGGATCCAGCGTACCCGAAATCGAATTGAGTAATTCATCAAGCAATGTCTCCGCCTCAACCTCGCCCTTCGTCTCTGCAGCCAGCGCCAGCCCCTCCGCCAACCGCTTCTTCTCGATCGCCGCGCTGATAATCGGGTCCAGGAACGCGCTGACGACCTCATCGGCGCGACCGTCTTGTCCTCGAACATCTCCCACAACGGCCATGGCGCGCCGATCCACTCGCGCTGCGCGATGACCTGCATGGCGTCGTTGAACATCTTGATGAACTTGTTCGCCGTCTGCGCGTGCGCGGAGGTCGATTGCGGGGGCGGGAAGGCGACGTTGTGTGCGTAGGGGATGTTCGCTTTGAGGCTGTCTACACAGGTGCCGAAGAGGAATTCCGTGGCGGAGTCCATGGTGAAGCGTCCGACGAGGTCCTGGGGAATGAGTTTATTGCGAGAGAGGTGCATGACGTACAGCGGACGCACCTGAAAATCGACCGAGAAGCCTGCACGCGTTCGCTGCTTCATGATGGAAATCACGTCTTCTGCGTGGGCGTCGAATATATCAAAGTGGCTGATTTTGTCGCGGCTGAAGAAAGGCTACAGGATTTTTTTATCAACGGAGGACAGAGTCAGATTGAGAGCCACGGACGCGGGTCATGCCACGATGGAATTTCCACATCTCGCCGTCAGAATTGAACACGCCAGTCTAGTCACGATGTTCATTTTTCGCACATCAAATGAACATCCACGAGCTCACCTCGAGAACGCTGTTTATGTTGAACTGAAATCTTTCGCCTGCTGATAAGTCAGAATGAATGACTGGAGGAAGGCTCGTTTTCATACCTTTCACATAATTGTTGAAATCCGTGGCAAGCATCTGCTTCATGTGTTCCGGCCATACCTCCACCGAACATCAGCCAGGCCGAAAAAAACTCAGGAAACACGATCACGTACCGTGAAAATCGAGTCTATCCACAACACCCGGAAATTCATAACGGGACCCACTTTCGCGACAGCCTCGTTGAACCCATCGCCTGCGAGCGCGTCAGTAACCAATTAACTGCTCAACGAAACCGACTCGAATGCACCAGGATACCCATGCACCCGATTATGCACCATTGTCATCATCCAGTCGATATTGCCGATCCATTTGCCGGGGACAGCGGGCGCGAGGCGTGCGCCCATCGCCTCCGCCTCGCGGTGCTGGCGCACATCCCGCCGCATCACGCGGTAGGTGACGTACAGCGGGAGACTCGCCGCCGCGAGGAGCACCGTCGCAAAAACGGGGATGTCGAGCCCCGCACGTTTGGAGGCATAGTGCACGCCGAAACCCAGCAGGAGGGGCTTGCTGAGCACATGGACGGTCAGACGGGCGAGGAGGTTTATACCGGGGGGCAGGGGCAGCATTTCTTTAACTTGAAGAGAGCTCTGCGTTGTCGGAAGTGTTTAAGAGTGTGCGTGCCGGCTACACGGAAGATGTGGGGCCCCATTGCTTGATAGTCGCCGGCTTTATGTGAGTCTCCCGGCCCAATGTCGCCGTCACGGGAAGTGCGGAGTTATGAGCAGGTGACCGCGCGGGAGCGAGGCGCTGATGGGCGCAAATCCATCGAGAGCTGGAGCCTGGAAAGCGGGATTTCACCACTAACCCAGCCTCGAAAGCCGTGCTCGCGTTAGTGAAAAGGACACTGAGATTCTCGGACACGTTAGCCCCGTCACGGCGGGAAGCGCCGCTCTAGCTGCGTCGCGTAGCACACTAGCAGCGATAATGGTCGCAGATTAGGCGCGGCCGCCTGATAAACGAATAAAAACCAGCAAAAACACATGTAGCCATGAGCGGGGCCCGCGCAGAGAGGGGCAAAGACATTATTTCCATTGACGCGCAAAAATACAATTGATTTACTTAGCTTACGAGCGACCTCAGCTTACAATGTAGTAAGTAGCGAGATTCAGGAGGACGCCGCCGTCGTGGCGTTATTGAAGATGAGATTCGCTGTGTCGGCGGGCAGCCCCGTCAACGTGCCCCGCGTCGCGAGCTCGACGAGCGCCGCCTTCATCTCCACGGGCGTGAGCGTATCCGTGCGGTCGCTGGGCGTGCCCGTGCGCGGCACGGGAAGCAGGCTGGCGAGCGGGCGCGGGAGGACCGCGCGCAGCACGGCGTACACGTCGAACAGCCGCTGCGGCGCAAACACTGGGGCCAGCAGCATATGCTCCTTGCCAAAGACGGGGTCGAAGGTCGCGGAGGGGTACACCCCAAGGAGGTACGCGACGAGCCCGGCGGCGTGCGGCGCGGCCATGGACGTGCCGGACATGGTGGCGGTCGCGGAGGGCCCGCCCGTGTACGTCGAGAGGACGTTGAGGCCCGGAGCGAAGACGTCGACGCACGCGCCGTGGTTCGAGTAGTACGTGCGTCGGTCTGCGTCGACGCGCCGACCACGATCGCCCGCTCCGCGGACGCGGGCGTGGATTTGCACGCGTCCGTGTTGTCGTTTCCTGTACAGTGGCCGGCGTCAGTCGGGTGGGTAGGGGAGGGGAGGGGATGCGTGTACCGGCTGCGACGACGACGTGGATCCCCTGCTGCACCGCACCGTCTATAGCCTGGTTCCCCGCGCGCGACACGCCGCGGAGGCCCAGGCTCATATTGATAACGGAGCCCTTGTGCGCCGTGCGCCCCGTCGCCTCGTACTCCTTCTGCGCGGCAGCGGCCTTCGCGGTCGCGGCGGAGGCGACGTACGCGATGCCCGCGATGGTGTCCGAGAGGCTCCCGGTGCCGTCCGCGCCCATGACCTTGACGGCGATGATATGCGCGCCCTTGGCGACGCCGTACTTGCGCGAGGCGATGATCCCGGCGCAGTGCGTCCTGTGCGCTATCAGCATCGCGACGGGGTGGCGAGGGCAAGCATGGCTTACCCATGGCCGTTCGCGTCTTCGTCGATTTCGTTGGCGACGAAAGTCTTCCCCCACGATGCACGGCCCTCGAACTCGTTCTGGTGGATGTTGACGCCCGAGTCGACGACGTAGACGTCGACACCCTCGCCCCCCCGTGGATCGTAGTGGTACTTCCCGTACGTGCGGAAAGAGAGCTTCTCTCGATTGCTGATTCGCGCGAGCCCCTGCAGACACGTATCAGTGAATGCGATATAGCTGAAGAGGGGAGACGAACCCATGGTGCGCCCTTCTGCGTCGCTATGTCCATGGTGTGCACCAGCCGATCGTGCTCGATGTAGTCCACCTCGGGCATGCTCCTCAGCTGGTGCATCGCAGTCTCGGAGAAGCGGCCAGCATAGCCCTTTAGGAACCCGTCGTAGACGTGCCGGATCCCCTCGCCCGCTCCGCCGCCGCCCGCAAGCGGGCTCTCCTCCTGCACCGTCGCCAGGAAATTGAGGTGATTCTGTACATGCGCGGTAGACGCGTATTCCTTCTTCAGCACGACAATGTACGAGTCGTTTATCACGCCCTGGGGCTCCTCCCCGCCCAGTAGCGGCGCGAACGTGAACAACGGTCGTTGGTGGAGCGGAGCGTTTGGGTCCGTGTGGCAGTTTGTCATCAGTGGGCGAGGCGAGACCGCGGGGGCGGCGAGAAGAGTCGCGAGGAGAATGCTAGCGATCGTGAGCATGGTGCGGTTGTTGCCCCCTCAGTTTCGACAGCTTGGGCCTTATAAAACGGCGTCTTGGGCGGCATCGTCTGATACGGTAGGCTTGCGCAGTCTGAGCTGCTGCGCCATCACATTGGCTAGCGGGCACGGGTGCGGCGTCCCAGATATCGAAGACATTTCCGCAGTGATTTTTATCGCGATGAATGCCTGTGGTCGGATGAATCTGATCAGTAACTACAGGGTTGCCAGATAAGTCATGCTCACCAAAGGCTTTATCTAGTCGCCCGCCGCCCTCACGACACCGTATCGCCCAAGGAGCGGCACGGAGACGATGTGGGCGTCCCCTCGTCCACCTCCTTTTCTCTCTCAATTTTCAGGTCTATTTTTGCACGCTGTTGAGCTGCTCGATGGTCTCATTTTGGCCGTTCGTTCAATCCAGTGCTCTCTTGCTCACTTTGACGCTTGAAAAAATCCCAAAGCCTTCACAAAGGGGTTGCTAGATAGATTTATCCCCTGTGGACAGCGGAGGACTTGAAGGAGATTTGCGAAAGATAAGGTACCGCGGTAAGACAAGGATCCGATTCGCTCACTTGAGAAGACTTCTCAAGCCGATTCGAAGAATATGTTTCCTAGTCTTGGAGCATGAAGGAGGGCTCCACAGGCTTTCACCCAGTGACTTTATGCTCGGAATCCGAGCAGTAATTGCAGGGATGAACCGGCAGCATCATTTGGACTGTGTAGGGAACATGGTGGACCATTGGTGGTTGGGAAGAGAGTGACGGGAACACGATCAGTCACACCATCACAACAGCACGTGTTCCACGACGCGTCCATCCGCAACCCCTATTACTGTTGGACTCAGGTCAACCTTTCCGCTGCTCACCGTCGCATTAATGGGGTAGTGGTAACCTGGGTCGTTGCCATCTTCGGATTTCATAAGCAGAAATTCGACCCGCCGGGGGTTCGATTCCCTCTTAATGCATGGCCGATATTAAATCCTCTCTTTTTGTCCTCCTATTCGTCCTCTCACCACGTGCCCCGACTGCACCGAAAGGGGCGTCGATCTTTGTTTGCCCCCGGTGTCATTCTCTTTCTTCGATGTCTTGTGTGAAGCGGATTCATGTTTTGAATGAGCCTGTGCGAGGCTAACAAGAAATTAATTTCTGGACAAGATCGTCCCACTGCCAAACTACTCGCGCTTTACATTTCGGCGGTCCAAGAAAATCTCCACACAATATTCAATAACGATATAAACACCGCCCACGGCCTCTGCACTTACTATCCAAACGCAGTCAAGGGCCATCTCCGTACGACAAAGAAGTGGTTAGACTGACGATCCGCTGCTTAACCTCGCGCGGTTGCTGAGAAAGAGCTAGAGTCAACACCGGGAAAACGAACTTGGCTTAAATTCCACGTACAGGGCTTGGCTTTCCCGTGTGTTGATTGTGTACCTCGGTCGAATTCGTGGGTATTTGAGTCGGAGGCTGCATTGGAAGCGCAGTTAGTCTCCGTCGGCACCAAAGTAATGTGTGGGATAGTAGATACCTTAGGTGAAAGACTCGCGGGACTGCTCGTCTGCACGGTCGAGACTTGGGTAATACGTGTTGTGGTGCTGCTCGTAACCCGGGCCTTGGGAGTGGTACAATCATTCTGGTCGTTAGAAGGGCCGCGGATCGGGCTCGCGCCGTCGATTTTAGATCTCTACAAACAATATTGATGTCAAGATCGAAGTACCGCCGGGATGAACTTACTTTGCGCGGATCGGTGGTGCGCGGCGTGGTCGGATAGCTACGCAACGGGCTCGAATGGATGGAACACGGACTCCCGTGCTGCGACCAGGGAGTGGAATGTACACCCGCGGCTCTGAGTTCCGCCTGGAAGCCGAGAATGGGAGACGTGAGCGGTGATGCATTCGTCTTGCGATTTCGTTCAGTGCGATCCGCGTATTTGCATAGTGGGAAAAGTACACGTACAGACGGTGAGCGAGATTCTGGGGTTGAAATACGGGGTACGATCTGGAGACGCGAAATAGGTCCGGGAGAGATACGGAGGATGTCAAAGATTGGACATACAGAATGGCGCTGCGGGGTGGTAGGCGCAAGCTCGATTGGCCGCGGCGGAAATAGACTGGTGAAGGAATTCTCAGCCGGCAGGTCCGCTCAGAGTATGTTACGCGCACCTCATTGCATTCGGAGGCATGAGAATCCAATCTGACGACGTGTTCTGACGCGTATTCAGGACCTGGAATCCCGTTAAATGGCAATTTAGGGTCGAGAAAGCTGCGATTACCTCTCGCTCGGAGCGCGGATTTTCCTCACGAAATGCGGGCGCCAGGGGCTTCAAGTCTAGAGAGCCATTCGACGTGTGGCGTTTGCGCTTCAGATCCGCGACCTACATATAAGCCACAGTCATTTTTTGGCGAACAGACGGAAGAAGACCGCGAACCTGGGGTACAAGAGAGCGCTTGAGAGCCTCATACTTCCCTCTGACATCCTTCAGCTCCTCGCCCACAGCAACGAGCCGCGCTGACGCCGTCTTGTACTCGTCTTCAAAGCGATCTCGCTCCTGGCGCACTTCAGTCAAATCCTCGACATAGTGCGAGATCCTGATCTCGAGCTCTCCGATTTTGGATTCCAGGCGGTGATTCTGGATTTTCTGTTCGCGCAGCTTCGTCTGAAGATCGTCCATGGTGGAATGGCGGAGAGGCTGAGTGTAAACACGTACCGTGACTTGGACAGCTTGTTTGTTTGGTCCAGGGTTCTGTTACCTCTTCCCCTCATCTGTACCTCGCGGGACGGTGGCCAGCGGTGCTCTACAGGAATCTTGAGTTCAGGTTTTGCGCGGGCTGGAAGCAAAATTATTTGAATCGCCTCCAACTGACAGCAGGCCTAGGGCTTCCGACAGGGATTAAAAAAATCGATTTAGACTGGCGTTGTGGTCTTTTTACAGGGTGTACAGCTTGACAAAGACCGCAAATGTCAGGATAGGTTTTTTGAATTTATATCGTTCGTGCTCACCTCTAGTAGTCCTCAGCTTGCATGCTTTGCAAGATTCGTTGCTGAATCACTCGTGCTTGAAGCCGCAAGGCGCACTAAATACCCGAAAGGACAAGAACGCTAGGATTCAGATCTTCAGCCATCGTTCAACCACCGGCCGACCCTTCTTCGCGTTCAGGATCGACACTTCAAGGGCCGGAAGCGCGCGCAGGCGCATGCCCGCGCTCTTCATGCGCCGCCGACCCGCGTATAGCGCGACGGTGTGCAGCGATCTTTCTGAGCAGTGGGTGTTATCCTTCTGCTCTCCATGCGTGGCGGAGCCCCGACAGCGCAACGCGACCATGTCCACGAACGCTGCACGATCAAGCTCGGCTTTCATGTCGGCCCACGCGAGCGAGCCGAGCTGAGGGCATACACCGCCCGCGAGAGCGGCGACGAGCTCGGCGGGCGGATGGCGTGGCTCAATCGCGAGCGCGGTCAGGTTGGGCGTTCCGAGTTTAAAAATTTATTTTTAACTCGGTTATGCACAGCTTTAGCGCCAGAGTAGGTGTTTTTCGCAGCGATGACGTTGTTCAAAGGTGTTGGAAACTTACCCTAATAAGGGAATTATCGTGTGTTTTTGGCGCTCAATGCGGTTACTTTAGAGTGTGGACGGCAACGAGAATCTCGAGATACTGGAACTTTGATGGGTGCTAATTCCCTTTTGTGGTAACATCAGTCACTGGATGTCACACATCTGATTTGCCATCAATTCACGATCAACCTTCGAGCTCATCATGCCCGACGACGACGACGAGGCGGACCCGAGCTAAAAAAAATTCGAATTGTCCATCGGCTGCTGTTCTGTAGCACAATGAGATCAGAGGCATGTTTGAACTCGCATATCTGCCTGAACGAAGTGTGAAATGCCGAGGGCGGGAGGCGGCGGGACCACAGAGGATGGCGGAGGAGGCGGGATACGGTGAGCAAAGCCTTTGAAGGTCGTTTGATCCAGCTGATTTAAGATTGGTAATGTCACGCGGCAGAATATTCGATTTACCGAAAAAGGGAATCGTTGCCATCAAAGCACCAGAATCTTTTGGCAATCGTGTTGCCGTCCACACTCTTACTGTTTTGTCTGACCATTCCCTTACTTTTTAGTCATCTTTAGTCATCCCGGCCTTACACTTAGCCGTTCTCAGTAAATCATTTGGTTCAACGCAAGTTCAACGTTCAACAATTTTTCAGTCATCTGCTTTCGGCACCTTGCCCGGCGAACTCGAGCCGAGCGAAGCTCGGGCGAGGGTGAGCAAAAAGCAATGTCTCGGAAAAATCATTTCTTGGACAGTAGTAACTAGTTGGACAGTAGTCTTTACCCGGCGAACTCGAGCCGAGCGCAGCTCGGGCGCGGGTGAGCAAGGTTATGGGCATTAGGTAGCATTATGGCACTTACTGAATGACAAGGATATGAGGAAGGTGTCTCTGATTGCTTTGCCTCGACACGCACACTGAAAAAAAAAATCAAAAAGAACCAAACTCGGTCTGCCATGCGCATGCAATGGCCCTCAAGCCCAAGTGTGCTGCAGGACGGCCACGATTTCTGGTGCAAGTGTATCGCACCCTGCGAGCGTGAGCTGGGCAAGACCCAGCGCGCAGCCGGAGCGCTGCAGGAAGGGGAGAACATCGGAGATCGGGCCAGGCACGAAGAGCGATTGGAGTCCTGGCGCGGTGAGACAGGCGAGAACCGCGGAGTGCCGGACGACGAGGCGGCGCAAGTGTGGCAGCGTCACAGGGGCGTGGCGCGCGGCAGCGGCGGCAGCGTCAGTGGCGGCGCGGCGGAGAGGCCATGGGTCGATGTCGCACTCGATGAGCGCCGGGGCGGCAGCGAGGTTGCGGAGGTGCTTAGCGACGCCGCAGGTTGCCTGGTACGTCGTGAGCTGAGCTCACTGCACTGCAGGGACAGGTGGGCAACGACCTTCGGGTACTAGCCCATGCGCGCGACGGCGAAATGGCCGAGCACGAGACGCCGCAGCATGGGGGTGGCCACGGAAAGGTCAAAGTACGTGAGCGGTGCGGACATGTACCCGCTCAACGTCAGTGCCTCGAGGTTGGCCAGGACTTCTGGGCGGAGGACCGGCAGCGGTGTCTTCGCGGTCACGACGCCGTTAAAGTGGATGTGCAACGTGCGCCAGCGAACACTGTGCTCCGGGCCAAAAGCGTGCGCAGGAAGTCGTCGAATGCCTCCGGAGAAGGTTGGGGACGGCCGAATCGAGGGATGGTATCAAAGACCACAGTCACGTCGATGGGTGCGGCACTGGTGCGTGCCAGCTGCATCTGTAAAAGTGGGAGCTCGCGCGCCGGGAGGCGAGTCGATACGGTGATGCCGGTCCACAGCGACGTCAAGGATGTCGCCAATGCTCGCCATTGCGTGCAAACCTGGCAAAAAATGCATGTAATACCGAGTGTTTTGGTGCTGGAGATCGGTAATTGGGAGGTCTGAATCGTCGGCTGATCTGCAACGGCCAGGGTGAAATGATGTCGCAAAGGAGTTCTGGGGGAAGCAGGTCGATGGAGGAAAATGGGGGCATCTCCTTTTCCTCCGTAGAGTTTGAGACAGCAGCCATGATACACACACACACAGAGGATTGCGGGAGGATGAAGAACAGATTCTTGACAGAAGAGATTCTCGGTGAGTCAAAATTGATCATGATTGCCGACACCAGTCGCAGTCTCACAATTAATGGTCGAAATTCAACTCGTCTGCACTGGATACTTGAGCGTATCAGCATTTGTTGAAGAATGGCGTCAAAAGAAAGTCAAATTTCTTTTGACAGGGCCCGATAATTTCAGCAGTCTTAATTCAGATTCAAAATTTCCGAAACATACAACCAAAAGAAAGCCCTGTGAGCGTGGAAATCGGTAGAGAATAGGAAGTCTAGTCCGAACTGAGACCCCCAATGCGACAAATGTGACATATTTCTACCCAAACAGCAGACTCAAGCAAATA